GTTTCATACTTTGGTTGCAGTAACTAATTTGTTGAAACCCGTTATTTTTGCTTTTGTATAGGCGTCGTGGAAAGACACTCGAAGACACTAGAGTTTGGGTAGCTTTAAATTTCATCCATGACGATCTTGAGCCGTTCATTGCTGCGTTTAAGGTCGGCTCGTTGGCTAGTATTGTTACCAAGTATCTCGAGACGTAGGGTAAGTTGAGAATGAACGACAAGTCTCACCATTCTCATGGAAGCATAAGTGACGCTCTTCGTTATGAGAGAAATCTAGCCAATCCCTAATGATACCAGCACAGTCAAGGCACCTTGGACTTTATGCTATGGTTGATAAATTCTATTGGGGCAGCTTAGTTGTCGCGTCCTAGTAGGAGATACCCACAAGCAGTAGGAATATTGATTAGCTACATGTACTTTTTTTCTAGCACGAAGCCTCTCTAATGTATGGCTCGAAAGCGGCTTGTAAATTCTCCTCGTGTTGGTTGTTAAGGCGTTGATCACAATAGTATTCAGTGATCATTCATGTAATATATGATGCAGAGCCAGGGAGAGGGAAATAAATGACAAATTGGAATACTATCAATTGCTACAATCATTCATAGAAAACTCCCAAAACGCACTAGCTACAAAGCTATCTGGAAGTTTGCGGTATTGGTCGATACTAATGTAGCCAGATCTGAAACTTGTTAATACCACAATATACAACCAACAAGAGAGGAGGGCAAGACTGGACACCTGTGCGCAGTATTCCCTACGAACATAGGAGTGGAATTTTCTCCCAGAGCCAAGTTCAGTCAAATTGCGCAGTTCCCAAACAGTTTGCCCACGAGGCAATGATTCAAAATACTCCACTACATCAATTTTTCAATCCCAACGAGTTCGAATCCTACCTAAACTTCATCAATTCTACACGTACGACCCAATACATTGTCGTCCTAATGATCACACCTCTTGTCAACTTTCTCTGGCCCTCAGCTCGTCACCAAATACACGCCCACGCCGATATTTACACCCGACGGAGGAAGCAAAGCGTGGCGCACAAATCTGGGAGATAGTTCCTTGGGATAGGCGCGAGAGGAATCTGGACAAGTTGATAAGATGATGCGAAGGATGGATACAGTCTCGACAGGCGTAGAATTTTGGATTACGATAAGGAGTTTTACGAGTTGAGCTGTGTGCGCGCCAAGACTTCGATTACGAGAATGCAGGCGATATTGTAAACACTGCTATGGTTGGATGGTGCGGTGGTATATTGTCTTGGCCGGTCTTCCAAGTAGAGTCTGGGTAGCTTGGACACATATCCCACTCGAAACAGGAGATAGCTGGTTCAGATGCGGCAAAACACAACCACATTTCTCGCGGCGCTGGTATACATGGATGACGAAGGCATGCTTGGATAACCAAAGGTTTTAAAATTCCCTTTGGTCGGTTTTTACGGAGGAGAGTCGACAGTTTATGTAAGCGAACATACCTCATAGTGGTATTTGCGAATGAAATCCAGAGTACGAGTGTCTCTAACGCCATAAGAGTCATCAAATATGTAAACATAGCACCGGTCATGTGTCATAACTTTATAGCTGCATACACATTAAATGATTAAATCCCCTTCCCCAACAAGGTAAGATTACCGCCACTCATTCATACTAGTCATATCACCCTAATGTATCCTGACTCCTAAGCAACGTCATCTATTCAATTGAATGCACCAATTGTATAATACCAGACCCTTCAATAGCTTCTACAGCCCGCCTAGTAGCAGGGCTTGCGATTTCGTGAATAGTAACTTTGGAGAGATTGCGACCTCCGACACCTGGAAGCAGACAACTCTGTTAGCTTACTATTTTATCCTAGAGAGCGACTTATTTTTCTGGAGCCATGGAAATTCTCGCAAACTCTGCCACGACGTGCATCACTATGAGTGATACTGAGGCATCCGGCAAGGCAAAGCTGCTTGTATATTCGCTCGATCTTTCCCAGCCTCACCATACGCCAATTGACTTTCCGCGATGTCTTGTAGTGTTATAGGTAGCATTCGGCGTGTGTCTAGACCGGTCGAGTGTAGGCCCTAGAACAGGGACTGAGCCTGGGGTTTTAGTGAACTGGACTAGACCACCTTCTGTGCGAGTCCAATCTCCATTTCAACCCGGCGCGTCAGTCTTGGCTGTTTAGTCCTGACAAACAGGCCCTAATTCCTTGATTAGCTGCCACTCTAGCAAATACAGATATGCCTTGTTCTGTTAATACTTCGATGTTTATCTACTTCACCTCAAGGCTCGCCTCTTCTATCGCCACATTTGCCAGCGAAGATACTTTGATACTTTCCCCGCTCGTCCATTGTTAGCTTCAACGCGCGGGAGGGATGATGGCATGTCAAATATTCAGTTTCTAGGGTACAGTATCCTAGAACAGAACATTCTTCACAGTTATTTATGAGCAAGTGTGAAGAAACCAGAAACCTGCTAGGACGGGAATAGGTAATGTATGTGTTTATTGAGCCAATGACAATCCAGCACATTGGGCCACGCCTGGTACAATGCCCGTATCCTATTTTGTTACTTCAAAGATCTCTGATACATTGCCAGTGATGTAGTAATTCAGCTACTCTTTCCATGGAAGCTTCTACCTAAAAAATAATAATCGTGGCAATTGAAACTGCGTACGCGGGGAAAAGTTTCTAGAAGCCTGCAGCACGGGTTAAGCGAGGCATGTATATCTATATCTCCATTCTCTGTAACATGAGAGGCCAGCTTGGTCCAGACTATCGCCGCATCGGGTGCTGGGTAGACGCTCCGGAAACTCATGGGATGGCTTCTATTGCATGATCAGGGGCGGGTGAAGAGAATTGCTTCAATCCTACCATCTCATCTGATTGTGGCTAGCCTCATGATAATGGTGCTGAGCTATTGTGGTGAGATGAAGACGATACAGACCGGGGAATTGATTAGGAATCCTCATCGACGTGAAGGTAGTGTTACTCAATCTCAGCTCTCCAGACTCTACAGTGAGAGCAGGAGTTTCGTGGGGGACACCACTCACAGGTGGAGAGTTTCTTCTCCCGGGAATGGGTAATGATGAGGCAGTGACCATATGATTTCGTAGAAGCAAGGTTAGGAGAGGACAGAGGCATCGTCAGAGTAGGCGCTGGCTAATTTAACTATGCGGACAGATAGGTCGTAGGGGCCAGGCAGGAGATGATGGAAGATTGCTAGAGTTGATAATCGCCTGATATTACCTAGGTGTAAAGATATCGTTTTGTCATACTTGGTCACTCCGCCGGTCTCTCGCGATATCTATGGATCAAGCTTCTGACTATTTCTAGTCGACAGGTGAACCGGAGAGATCCTATCGCACTTCCACCTACTTTACTTTTGACTAGAAAGCTTTCCAGGTCCTTCGCAATGGATAAAGTGCGTTTGGGTATGGCTTCGATATTGGCGCATGACTGTCGCGGCACACTTACAGTGGCGCGGGTTGGCCTGACGGCATGCTAGTTCATGATATCCACAAGGCATCTACGTGTCTGACCTTGCCTAACGTGCCGATGGGAGTGACATCCTGATAGCTCTCGCACACATCCGGATCCATGCTAACAAAACAGCAGATAGTAGCTTGCTCAGTGCCATGCATGGCCGAGAGCCGCCGGCAGAGGAGTCGTAGTAGAGCGAGAGGTGCGACAGAAACAACCGAGATCGGGTGCGCCCGAGGCCGTATCTAGGCCGAGGCTGATTGTCAGGGCAACGGGGCGAGTAAGAGGTAGGAAGAATGCACAAGGTACGTCAAGGTGGATAGTGGAGAGGACGCGAGTGTCGACACCAACGTTTCGAGTCCTGGCAGGGCGAGGTCGACAACGGTCTGGGCGGGTAGAAGGCGCAGACGCTGATTAGGCTTTCGAGCGACGGCCAGACAGGCGGGAAGTTTCATCGTTGGCGCGCGGACCCGGTCGAGGCTCGAGAATAGTAGCGTCATGGCCACGAGGCGTCCGACGCCTGCAAGCACAGAAGCAGGTGGCCGGGCATGCTGAATATCATGCGAGTCATGACATCTCGGGGAGTCGCCATGTCGCAGGTTCTGCTGCAGCAGGCCTTGGACGCTGTCTCATCTCCGACAAGCGGGCCATCGAGATCTCGACGTCTCGCCAGCCGCGCTGCCCATCGCCCCACCCGCGGCCGAGCGCGACGAGGTATCGGACGCGTCGCGCGATGAGAATTACGAGACGAGCCGACGCCTTTAGACTTCCGCACGTTCGAGAGAGGAGCAGGGCGGCGACGCGACATGGCTGTCTGCAGCGGTCGCTGGCGCACCCTGGACCCCATGCCGTCCCAGGATATGGCCCCATCGCTTCCCATCCATGTCGAGCCCCAAGAGTTACCGTCGGCCCCAGTCCGTGTCAGCCGGTCAGCCGCCGCCGAACGCGAGAGCCCGGTCAGCAGGGACAGCTGCCACGCCCACAGTCAGCGGCAGCGTCGCTTCCGATTCGCACAATACCATCCGCCCTGGGCCAGGCCTCGGCAATTACCGCCCGCCTCGGTTGCTCAAGCGGAACCGTAGGCCATGGATGCCATCATTTCAGCCCAGGATAAGGCTGGTGAGATTATCGGATCATCCCCTCCTACTCAGATGCCCTGCTGCGTGACGAGCCCTCGGCCTTCGGCGGCCGAGCATGTCTCATCTGATCGTTAATCGAAGCTTTACCTAGTCTTCGGAGCATCTCAAACCGACTGTGATCTGCGCTGGCCTATCACAGGAAAAAGCAACAAGATTTAAGCATTTCAATCTCATAGCCTCGTTGTATGTCGTAAGCCAGTATGATTACATTTTCGCACTGCCTCTAGAATTTTGGCCTAATCGAGCCCTTACAATTTGTCACTCCCTGCCCACGACACGCCCCAACCTCCCATCGACGCCAGCTCCTCCACCAATACAACTAAATCTCATCAAGTGCGCCAACTTGTTTTAGTTACTCGTCCTGATGCCAAATTATTCCTTCAGAGTATCTTCTTAGTTCCTCTTCAAGCTATTGCATCTCCCAGATCCAATCCCAAGCCATTTCCGCATGCCCTTCCCGACCCCATCTTCTTCGTCTCGTTCCACTCCGCCGCATTGAAACTCCCGCGATAGGGCATTTGTTGTTATACAACCACTCATTCGACGCTGTCTCTCTTCTCTCTTTTCCTGCATGACATCCTTTACCACATCTGGTCGAGAAACGTTCACGCTGCTAGCAGAAACCGGACGGTGGGAGGGTGTCACCTCCCGATACCGCAAGATAGGAGGAGGTGTCGCGTCGTCCGTGCCACTCGTACGTTCGAGCTGGAGAACCTGAGTTTTGACTATTGGCTTTGTCTTTGACGCTGTGTGAGAATTTGTATTGGACGAGTCATGACGTCGGAAACGAGCTAGGGTTAGGGAGATTGGATTACGCCGCCAGACCGGCGATGGATTATTTGCAACGGCTGAAACAACGCTGGATGCTACTGCAGATGCGACACTAACTTGTCTAATAGGTGGGTTCATGGTATCTCGAGCCAGGGTTTGACTGCGTCGGGCTGGCACGAGCTGAAGAGAGGATGCCGGGTCTGAGATTACGTTGGGTTCTGAACTCTTGGGTGAGATCACTGACGGCGTGTCAACGTTTTGCGTCTTAACGTTGTGTTGGGTGTCATCTTCACTGATAATCTCTTGTGATTCCGAGGCACGGCGCACCAAGAATTGATCTGAGAGTGCAGATTCATGATCGGATAAGACCTCTCGGCCCCACTCCGACTGACTAAACTTGAAGAGTGTAGGTGTTTTAATGCGTCGGAGCCGAGTATGTGGGAATGACTCATCTTCTGTGCTATTAATGCTCCCCGTGTCTGTCTCGGTGGGTGTATTCCAGCCATAGCCATCATGACGGCTGAGCACAGTTTCACAGGCACTTCTAGGTCGCATGGGTAGATCGGGTGTCCGATTTATTGGATAGGTGGCCTGAGCTCTACCAGGTTGACTGAATAATTCATTTGGTTTTTGGGGGTCCCCACGTAGTTTTTCTGTGCGACAGGTATCGGGTGTGGGAGGCAAGGCAGGAGAATCTTCATAACCTCTCGAATTTCGATAAGCATTCAGGTGGTTTTGGGTATTGACAATGAGGCCAACTGATTTGAGCGAAGACGTTTTCTTGTGCCCTTCCAGGTTATAGGGTCTTAAAAGGTCGGGCGAGCTTTGCTGAAAGTTTTTGGTGGATTGTGGCGATATCCTTTGTGTAGTAGAGTTTTCCGTTACATTTTCCTCGACCCAGGCTGAAGTTGTATTTTCATCCGGAGTATTCTCCCTATCTAGGCTAAAATGGTCGTTGAGTGCGTTTTTATCACCGTAAACACTGATAAACGAACTCTCGCTGAGTCGGCTGAGAACGCTGAGACGCGGACTATCCATCTCCTCTTGAATGCCCTCTTCTTCTTCTTCTTCTAGCTTGGATAGGGTTGACTCGCTGGCGCCCACTCGTTTGGTGTAAAGACTTCGAAGTGCCTCGGTCTCACCACTCTGATCCGAGAGGAACGATGGCATGCGTGGGATGGATCTAGAATGAAGGTTTTGATCTTCGAGAGACGACGGATAATTCTTCCTCAAGTCGTTAGATAGCCCCACGCAGCTCTCTACCCTTTTAGACCCTTGGCCTACCCTCAACCGCTCATTCTCCTTTCGTAATAGCTCCACCTGTTCCTCGAGACTAGTGATGAGGTTGATGGCCTCATCGACGGCCTGATCTCTGCGTTCAAGTTCAACCATCAAAATGTCGTTCATCTCTTGATATTCAGCTTGTTCTTCAATAATTTTCTGGGCCGCAGCAAGCTCGCTTTCCAGCTTACTCTGTCGATCTCTACGATGAAATAATTCCAGCTTCAGATTATAGTTTTGTTTGTGGAGGGATGAAGTTTGCTGGAAGAGGGAGTTAGTAGATGTTGGATGAAGTAGATTCCTGACAACGGATATACCTCTTCCCATTGCTTGACTCCCATACCCTTTACTCCAACACCATTCAAACTGGCGCGTCTATCATTATGCTCCTGCAGAGACCTCGCAGGAGAGCCCAATGAGCCTCCATCTCCAAAATGTATGCTTCTTCTCCTCTCGGCATCGCGCTCTCTTAACCTTTCTTGTAATAGGCTACCAGCAGTACCGACTTGACGACCTCCCGTTGTAGTGTTCCGATTTTGGGGTAAATATGAAGTGGAGCTGTTACTAGAGCTGGGCGTCACACGCGCCGAGCTGTTTCGCGACATGAGAAGGAACGATGTTGAAAGCGAGCGGACCAGTAGTGGAATCAATGTCGATGTGAGGATTCGTGAGAGTTGGTAAGGGGGTGGTGGTTAGGGCTGGATGTAGATGAAGTGTTTGAAGATTGACCCAACTTGATTCACTGGTTCTGATTCTACAACGGCGACGGCGGCTGCAATGACGGCGGCTGCATCCGATAGATTCTCACTTTAGAGGGGCATTCCTTAAGATGTTGGCCGCGGCAGTTGGCCGGGGAAACGATTGAAAGCATTAAAAGCCATCTAACTTTGGGCATCCTTTGTATGCGCGCGCGGCCAATAAGCGAGAGGACCATGCATCCTGGTATCATCTCCTTTGTTTTTTTTCTTTTCGCTTGACCGCACAAAGTCGGAGTCTTCAAAAGGGACCAAGCAGCGACGAGGGCAGGGAGAAGGGGCAGAGATACGCAATGCCCACCCCCCCCCTACTCTCCACATAAGATCCAGGGGCCTAAAAGAGACCATTGTCTGGAATTGAATATTGTTGTTGCAGTGCAGTGAGGCAACCATAGTGTCTAGTTACCAAGCCTAGTCGATTAGACACGGCAAAAATCAAGTAGGCATGATTCCGGCGAGTCATTACGCGATCACTAGAGCTGACCAGATTCCTGCGCACGACATGGATTGGCGAGGAGAAGAAATGGCTACAATCCAGAAGCAGCGGCGAGTACGGATGAGCGGATGCACGGATGTGCGGCGGCGCTCTGAACCCTGAGGGGAGCGAGAGTGCGGAGATGGCTATTTAAAGAGAATAATAATTTCCTAATTCACCATAATTATCTACTGACCGGCGCAGACTTTGCAACCCGTAGATGGAGTCCGATAGTATTGGTTGTACAGTGTCGGAGATGAAACCAAATGAATGTCATCGCTCACATGATGGACACAAAGCTCTTCTGACGAATTCAATCGGAGCATCCAAAGAAGGATTTGGGACGTCGTAAGCTTTACGATATTGATAGCTAGTTGCTCCTTATTTTACGTTGGAAGAGGTAAAATATCGTGGTCTCGCTTCACCTTCTTCCTCAAGTGCTATGAGCGAGGAAGGCGTCGAACCATGGACTAATCTCACCGTCGCATGTCTGGCAAGACTAGACAAACTACACATAGAAGCTTGCTCCCAGAACAACAGTTCCACTCCTTTTTGTTTTAAATGTTCGGGGTAGGACTCAATGATATCCGTTAGTTTTCCACCCGAAAGCCAACCTTGTACACAATCCATCAGCGGCGTCTGTGTGTTCTCTCTCTTTCAGCCTTCCATAGTAGAACTACTACTATCGCAAGAAAATTGAGCAAATTGGCCGGAGCTTCAACGTTGTGGAAATGTGGCAAGACACTTATCCCTGTAACTCATCCATGAATCTGCGAGGGTTTTACCGTGGATGCTCAAGTTAATCCCACAGATATGGTTAGTAGAGTGATAGTTTAATCCACTTTCAATATACATCTTTCTACTATAATAAAATTTGGTCAAACAGTTTGATTATGTATTTGGTGTTAACCCTATTGATGCCCGATGGTGATGGGCTTGGGACACTGTAAATAGAAGTGTGGATTTTGATACGGAGCTCGTGATCAAGTAAGCTGTTAAAGGTTTCTCCTACTCCTAAACGGCAGTGGCCTCCCCTGGGATAAACATGGAAAGCAATCGTTCATACTACTGTCTACAATCTCGAAACTGAACTGTACGTGTGCGGCGCTGCCGATAACACAAACCTAATATCCTTAAACTACAGTCCAGTCATCCGTACTGTGCTGATGGCCTGTGAGTCTCTAGTGAAGCCTAACCCTTTATGATCCGCGCCCAATAAATCGACAGTACCTTTCAAATTTAAATGTAAAATCTGGATCCCACAATTCTCCTTCAGCACGCATCCGATGACGTGGATGAAGATGTAGATGACATAACCAAAGCCCAAGTTGAGATGTACTCAGCTTTTTTAGCAGCGAGTTGGGGAAGAGGAGCCCTCACACTTCATATAGACAAACCAGGCTCAATAAATCGATGGGTGCCAAAGCGGTGGCAAGTTCCATTTGGCAAGCATTTATTATCGCCAATATCTCGATGGCATATTTGGCGGCAGGATTCAAAGGCCAGCCAGATGTCCATTCGGGGTTTCAGGGAGTGCGTGAGTGATTGAATCACAAATCTTGTACGCTCGAGATTGACCCGATGAATTTGATCATATGACCCGCGGTGGCCTAGAATACTGTGGCGAAGAGGAATCTGAGAAGGGTGAGATCTCCAAGAGCCATTCTCGGCGTGTTATTGTCGATTGAAGACGGGCAATAGCTCCAGCTAGTGGAAGATGCCAACTAATACCTCCGTCACACGGATGACGCCAATGCTGGAATTTGAGTGGTGTGTACTTGGGCGACGCGACTGTGAACTCTTGGGACCAGTCCCCTGCATTTGGTAGCTCCAGCTGGCTTGCTGGAGAGTATGAGCCTCCCCAATCCAACTCTCTCCTCTGCGAAATAGATTGTAGACAGGTAAATGGGGCTGGGAAGCATGATGCATCGCTGTTGGAGACCTAGAAGCAGCGTTGGCTTGACAATGGCGACAACCGTAAGATGCATCTTGCGCAGGACATGAGGAGCCGCCAACTGTGGTTGTCTATGTACTTCAAATCATGTTGGATGGGTAACACTGGAGCAAGTGGATTGCTGCTACTGCGACGTTTGCAGCGCCGTCAGAAACGTGATTGTGCCGATCCCCCTATATAGGGAATCGGGGAAGGGAGCAGGTATTCCTCGAACAATGAGCACTTCTGCTGAGGCAATTGGCTCCACAGCGATAACCTTAAACACGCTGTCTAGGATTAGTCAGCGTGCCTACCTAGCCTCTTGTGGCGATTAAGGGCAGATCCCCCGTCCACCAAAAGCTGCATGTGCCCCTACATCCGAGACAGCTCTTGGCCTGATTATCCACTCTCGCTGCCCTTCCAAGTCAGGCTGCCAATGATATGAATATATGTGGTTATATCTCGCATGACCTCTAGGACCAGCCCGGGTCCGCAGCATCAGACGCTATCCAATAGTGACCATTCCTCGCCCTTGACTACCTGGATCAATGTAAGCTTCATTGCATAATATTAATAAGCTGAGCATGGAGGTCTGGTGTCTAGCGCATCCCTCTCATCCGTAACCTGGACTATTTCGAAGAGCTTCGAGTATCTTTATTATGTTATCACCATCACTATTCCGTATGCGAAACTAGATACGACATGTTCGACTGCCCTTCTAACACAGAGGGTGTCAAGGAATCAAATATGGGCTCTATCTCCATGCTGTAAGCGTAAGCTTTGAATATTAAGCCAGGGCGTGTGTACCCGGACAGACACAGGGTTTTGCCACAGAGCCTATTTTCAGTACATGGACGTCTGTTCGTAGGGAGCCGTAATTTAGAGCAGCACAGGTCATGCAGGTACAATCCACCTACAGGCCAAGAATAACTAGACATCGGATAATATATCTTCTTGAGCTTCCTTACTGCTCCTGTCCAGCCACATCTCTCCTCATGAGCTCAAATGGCTTTTGGCCATTCATCATCTCCCCTCGAGCCAACGAAACGATGGCTATCCGTGCGTGTGTGGCAGCGTGGAAAATTCCAAATATACTGCAGTGAGCAGGCTACCCTTTGCTGACTCGAGGCTAAAAGCGAAAATACACTCTTTCCGAAACGCCCAAAGAGTTCAGACGACTGGGAGCCGCAGACTTTTGTGTGTCTGGGTTAGTCGCTCTCCACTTCTCATAAACTCCATCATTCGCAACGTGAGCCTCGTCCAAGGTCGGGTTGAAATATAAAAGTCTTGGCAACGATTATCTTCAAGAATATAGCCCGGCCTAACTTCTCTGTGTCGTTTTGGGTGAAATCAACAACAGTAGAAACTCTACTGGCTGGGTAGACTCCGAGGTGGGAACTGCAAATTCGTAGTGAAGACCAAAATAACGTGATAGGTTGGGGATTGTCATTGCCGTCACAAACTGCGGAATAACAATTGACCGTCCCAAGGATCTCCACAAGTACAGGGGTAGCTATCAGTATTTTGCGTCATTTAGTGTGGGTGTGGCTTACTAGCTACAGCATATCTCAATGCTACTTGCGCATATCACATGACTCGGGTGATTTTAGAAATACAGCTACTCCGCATTTCACTCACAAAGATTACGGACGCGTGCTCGTTTGCATAGGACAGTCGACCCTCGTCCGTAACTATCCGCTAAAGTGTGATTCAAACCCCTTGACCATTCAAGCATACTTTCGTCATTTATGCACATTGGCAACGCAAGAAGTCAAATTGGATCTTCATGAAATTGAACCAGCCATCTCCTGTCTCAAGATGGATGAGCGTCCTGGCTATTCAGACTGGATAATGGACCAACGCACCATAAAACCATGACCGTATTTACAACGTCGCCTGCCCTTCGGTAAACAAAGATGTGGCGCGCACAATGCTCTTACGTGTGTAATGCTCCTTACAAGACCATATCCGTTTATGATGATTTCTTTTACGTCAATCTCAAAGATCTGCCTCGCATTCTGGTGCGCTACAGTCGCTTTCCGTCTGCGGGTATTCATGATTTCGTGAGCTTGCATTTCTAGGTCTTTTGAGGCTAGACACCAAGTTGATCAGAGGCGCGGTTGGTTAAAAAAGGATGTATCAAACTAAATTTAGGGAATGAATTGGGCTCTATTCCGAATCAACCTTTTAGGAACGATGGATAGATGAGATCGGAAGTCTTGAATCATTGCTACCTTAACCAATTCAATCATCGCTGTAAATTTTGACTAAATTACACTCGAAGAAATATTTTGCCTCTAAGTTTGTGGGGGCTATCGCAGACAGGTGTCTAGTCGTAATCCCACTTGTATTTTCTGCCGCTATTACCGGTCGGATCCTCCGTGATTCATCGTAACCAGCAAGCTATCACGTTTTGATCAGTGGACCAGACAAGTCGCTCAATGCACCCTCTAGAATTCCTGTTGAAGGGTTACATATCCTTTGAGTAGCTATCACTTCTTCGAAACCTTCCTTTACTTATCCAGCAATAATCATCGCGTCCTGATTGATGCCAAGTGCCAAGACATACATCTAAGATTGCAGCTTCCATCTGAACTTGTACCGCAGTTTTCTTAGATCACAAGTCTAGTTAAAACATGATGCATAAGCTGAGAAAGCATGTCTAGAAACGTACATAACTCTAGTTTGAGGTATATTTGCTCAGTTGCCTAATCACCATTCATTCCGGGACTTCGTCCAATTCAAGCCCCCAGATACAATTATATTATTTCGTATTCCATACTATGATTAAAGCTCATTGGGTATCGTATATCTAGCTGGCTAAGCTGAACATTTCAAAGTCTTACTATACAAAAATGACTGCTTGAACCGCAATTCCCTGTACTTTTTTCTAATCAGATTCCAGATATCATTGCAAGAACGTGATACGATTCGTCTCAGGGCAAGTATTCCTAACTCGAAGTAACGAGCCTACGTATTTCGTCCATAATCTTGAATTGAATCTGATTGAATTTAAATCCTTCAGTTCGGCCTAGCTTAATCTTAAAAAAATGTATACATTTCGTAGGGATGCCTCGACTTAGATTTGATCTAAAACTTATCTAAATCAAGTTTTTCCGTGATGCAGAAAAATAAAATTTCATTTCATCATAGATCTGGTGAAGCTCTTTTTACTTTAGTATGCTCAAGCCCCGATTATATTATTTCGTGTCTTCGGTCTATTTAACAAATAATACCTGCTGTAGTAATAGTCGTACCAATAGTAATCTCACGTGTGCGGTGAATAAAGGCAAAATACTGGCTAGTGCTTTAGCAGAGACGGCTACTGAATAGTTATGTAGTCCGAACCTAGAGAGGGAATAGAAGCACTTTTACCGAACCCACGTCCGCTTTACAAAGTGAATTACCCCTGTGATACCTAAACCTGTCATGGTACTTGCTGATCTTCCTATCAATGCGCATTTCGAAGAGTATTTTTTATCTCTGACCATAACCATGAAGTATTTCTTGTCAGATTACGGCTGCTCGTTTTAGGGCCGCTAAAACTAGCTGTAGTGAGGTCTGATTACCATAGGACAGTAATGGATCAGCGAAGTTAGGTTTATCTTCCTGAATGTCTAAAAATGGCAGCACAGAAAGCCGGATGCCTCTCGTATGAAATGATATTTATCGAATATCCATGACCTGGAATTATAGAGCTCGTAGACAAGATTTGAGGAAATGTTCACACTAATCTCTTCAAGCATAAGATTCCAGTATCCGTTAATACAATCGTTCCAATGTTTCCGTAGCCATTACAGGCAAGACGAGGCTGTGTGTTTTTCGATAGGAATTGATTGCATATCTTAAAACCAACTGCCCTTGGATTACTTTGCCCCTTATTTCTGCGCATAAAATCAGCTCAAGTTAATTTGTTGTTTAAATTTTCATTCTTGTCCGTTGAGTCATATATCTTAGCCAATTCTCCGCTTTATGCCAGAGTGCTTCTTTCGATAGTTCATATATTTTATATTTTTTGTCGTGAATGATTTGGGTGAAATGATATCCCCTTATACGGGACTTCTTTTTCGACTGGATAGAAATTCGAAATATTTATCGGCATGTAACTTATTTACCAATCTTGCACTCTAAGATGCACCTCATGATCTTGTTAACACCTTTATCGATAAAAGAGTTCGATTTCAATACCTGGAAATCATTCAATTACCATCCTGCTTCAAGGCTAATTTCTGATAGATAGATTTCGAGTTAAAAATGCACAATAACCCAATAGTCATCTCAAGAACTTAAAATTTGGAAGGCGCTGACATCTCTCTTTGTCGCTTCCTGGCCCAGGTCCAGCCTCCTTCGACAGAATCGATTTTAAGCCTTCTCCTCAAGAATTTGACCATGTCATGTAATGGTGTTCCGCCAACGGATAGAAACTGGTTGAGTATATTTACAGCCTTTTGAACATTCCACGATCTCACGTGTCCTTTCAGGACAAGATCGGTCGTCGGAACACCATTCACATACATGCGACCAATAATAATGCACAATTCACGTACACATTTTTCCCGCATGGCACCTTGCAACAAGGCGGTCCAAAGTGGATCAGATCTCTCTTCATTTCGTCGTATTAAAGCCTGCAGGTATAAGCTTTTCTTTGGTGATAATTGACCAGCATAATTCCCGGGAATTAGACCAAATCTTTGGGCTGACGGCGGCTTTGGGAAATCAAAAACAAAACAAGTTGTTTCGCTATCACTGTCGTCGGGAGATGGGTGTGGAAAGAAAAGTGAAACCCTTTGGTGTGAGCTCGAATGTAATACGGGCATGGAAATTTCCTCTTGAGGTATCTCATAAGCCTCGTCCATATTACCAGAATGACAGTTCCTATCAGAAGCTTGTGGAGTTACATAACTCGTGCCATTGGTGATGCAGTGTACAAATTGGGATGGGATAGTGAGGGAACTAGAACGGACGTGGATTAAACTTCTCTGGTCGATAATGTCTTTTGGAGACGCCTGCGGAATATTGGAATGTAAAACCGGTTCGTGCTGCATCCCTGAAGATGCATTTTTAGGCAATGAAAGGGTCTGACGTACAGCCATGGGCATTTTTGGTGAGTGTCTCAGTGGCCTATCTGTTGACTGGAGTCTATAGCTGGAAGACGGCCAGTCTTTTCGTACCACAGCATGAAGTTGTTTTGGATGTAGATGATGCGAGGTTTGAGGCGTTGTATCAAGTGATAGAATAGGTTGTGGCCCCAAGCAGCGTCGTTGGAATGAATGACTTCGACCTAAGTGAGCGTGGTTACATTGGCGATATGGGTGCACATTAGTTCTGCAACTCAATAAGTATATATGCTCTCATCCGGACTCAGTTTTCTCTTACGCGCTAATTTGACAGCTTTGTATCTTCGGCCTTTGTAATACACTCCTTGTGGCTTGTGGGATGGCTTCATCTTGCGAAACAAGACTCGTTTGGCCTTGAACTAGGCCACGTTTCTTTTTCTTCAGCTTTCGATTGCTAGCGGTTCTCTGTCTTGGGAATTTTGATTCGGGAAACATGGAAATTTTTAAATTAATAATAATTGGATCAATTAGGCTGGAAATATGTTTTCACACCTTTCATACATTATCGAGTTTTGCATCTATTTCCATCAGGGATGAAAGAGGAGTAGCTCCAATATATGAATGGCATGAATAACCTTTTCTCGCTGCTTGAGATAAGGTTACCTCAATTGTTCCTGGAGTTTCAAATCTACCCCAACCCGAGATCGATGTGAGTGAGTGGTTCTTCAATGCTCATTCTGCCCAACCGAATGACGACAAATATCCTACCTGGCTAAGATGATCAGCCTTAACCGCAAAAGGCTCGTGCAACTTAGGGTTTCTGTTCGAGTTTCAAGCGATCATTGAAGGCGGCATTCTACTTACGATACTTCCAGCTATAAGCAAGAAGCTTTCATTTTGGTGATTATGTACTGCTTGGCGATTTGTGCTCTGCATGTAATACGCAATAGTCTAGAAATTACAATGAGCAGCTTCGAAAATGTGGTATAGAATCATGATTAACTCTAAATAAACTGATCAATCTATCAATTGCTGAGGACTCGTAACTGGATTAGCAAAAATGACGAGCGCTAACATGAAACGCAGGAACGGACATGTCTCTACGCCGGCACAATTTCAAACTTGAACGTGCGTAGTTGCCCCAAAGACCGAGGCTCTGGGCCACTAGTAAATCCACTTCAAATAAAATTTGAAACAACGCACAGAATTAATGGATTTCAGAAGCATCAGACGGGAGGCGCAGGTAGGACGGTTTGTACCCGATCATTTGCTGAGCACAGTAGGCAAATTTAAAAACTTATAAACTTCATCAAAATATAATGGCGTGGGGGTCCGTACATCGTACACTTCATCGTTAGGTGAACGTGTTTGTGAGTTCTATAACATTTCCCCACATATTAAAAGTTTTCTTCGTAACATTCAGTGATTCTAGAAGATTCTTAGATGGCTTTGCTGGCACTGTTTTCTCAGTGCATGCTAAAACGGCAACTGATCTCTGTGGCCACAGCTGTCAAACTCGTGTAACACAGACCCTTCCATTCAATTTCAACACCACATGAATCAATGCAGGCATCTGTCCATGTATTTAGACTAATCCATAAAGCTCAATCCCTGGAGTTGGAAGTTATATGTGGGGTGCATTCCATGCACGAATATGGTTTATGTCGCTTAACCGCATACAGTCAAACCCCTGTTAAGACGATGTAATCGGGGCCGTGAAAAATATCGTCTTTTTTTTTTTGCATCAGATTTGAATTGCGTATGCAGCTATCTAGCTATGACACAATATCAAAGAAAAGTACAGAATAGATGATTCAATTTAAAAGTAGAGCACTCATGCCTCAGATTTCATTTGCAAGTACCACTGCGAAGTTATGGCGGCTTTTTCTTCACCCCAAGTCAACCCCCATCCATGAATACCCACCCAGGGGAACGTCTCAAAAACCCTGAGTTATCCAGACATGCCTCCATCATCTTTCAATTTTTCTCCGCGCGATATGTGATCTGAGTTGTCTCCTTCCCAAGTGGAGTAGGTGCCCAGGCTACTCAGACTATACAAGAGAACACCACCAGGAGCCTGACCACAACACCTTCCATCGTTGGCTTGTGTTTGTAGTGTCAGCTGCACTCTGAAAAATATCGTCATATAGAGGATATCGCTTTAAAAGGATATCATTATCTAATCCAGCTATCTAGGCTACTTTGTACTTTTGATGCCTCTTTTATATTCCAAATTGTCGTCTTTAATTGCTCTAATACTCAAGGTCAGGCCAGTTTCCAGCTCGCTGTCGTAGCGCAGTAGTACTTGGAGCTTCGTTGAGTTTCGCAAAGGTCTTGCTCAAAGACTCGGAGACTGTGGACTGGCTTCATCGATGGCCGTATTCAGCTAAGAACCACTCAATGCACTGTTTTTGTGTTGGTTTTGGGATCTGGCGGTGCGCCGATCGTCGCAGAGCACGTCGTTGCTCCACAGAAATTCCCTTTTTTGGCGGCATTGATAGCACCAAGCTAGCAAAAAAACCCTGGTTCAAACGTTATTCAGAGGTTGAAGAACGATAATCGTGTAATAGGTAAATATATGGGAATGAAGTCCGTTCCGGAAAAAATATCGTCTTAACGGCAATATTGTCTTAACAGGGGTCTAACTGTACTTTCTCTCTGCATTACATAATATTATTCCGCTGATTGGCTTAAGCTAGCGCATGAAGTTCTCGTCCCACAAGGATAGTTAACTCGTGACAAGCGAACGTTGATTATCTACCGCCATATGTCATTTGGCTATCTTGTGTAGGAATGTATAGGAAATGTACGAATACAAAGCTGTCTGTACCTGTATGACTAAGATTATAAGTATACTTACAGCTTAGTTTTAGAGGCTTCCTTTACAGATTACACGGCACAAATTTGAGGTTGAAAAATGTCTGTAAACGGGGCTATGATTGTTGTTGTTGTTTTATTCAAGTCCTAAGCTAAAGCTCCAAATCCACTATGAGTACAGCACTGATGTTCACAGCCAGAACTATATCAAAGACATACCCAGCTTGATTTCACCGCATTGAACCACCACAAAACCAGCAGTAAGTTAAAAATATGCGCCGACGCGAACTCCTTTTCCCAAAACTGACAAAAAAAAAAGATAAATTGCAAATAAGTTAGAATAGGAAGCAATACTCCTCACCTCGATTCCCATTTGTCAGGTTTAGTTTCCTGACGAGTTATTTTCGATCTCCGCTAAGAGTAGGAGATGGATGCACAGGAGAATATCCAAAACAATTGGTATCCTGCGCAAATTGTTTGAATCTCTCGAAGCACTTAGGCCCGAGTAGCTTGTGTAGGAAGGCACTGTGAGACAATGACTCTCTGATTCGACGCGTGATATTTGCGTTGAGTCGACAATGTATGAAGTGGGTAGGGGTGGTTTCCTCCCCACAGATGCACTCTGTTATAGCGTGCGGATTGTTGAAGCGACGATAGTATGCCGCGAAATTGCCGTGGCCCGTACGGGCTGCAATGAGATGTCGTAACTGTAGCCTGGAAAGCCCCAATTCTGGTGATTATCGACGGCGCATGAGCAGATCTAGCTCACGATACTGTGACGGGCAAATTTCATTCCACCAGCTGTCGAGCAGAGTCTGTCGCTGTCGATGCAATTTTTGGTGTAAAAATGCTGTCGTGGTGGTTGCTGGCTCAGTTTCCATGTATTCCCGAGTGACCTGGTAACCACTTTATTCTTACCTGAGTTAGCCCAGATAATTCGCGAAACTTTCGTACTTGCTCGTGGCTGGTCGAGGACCTGCCCGTGCTCAGTGCATCCATCACATGTCGACTATCCATCAACACACTAATGCACTGCGTCCTTCCCTTCGCCAGGTACTCCTTCCCTCTTAGGTGACCCAACGCTGCTTTAAGAGCTTCCTGTGCCCCCGTAATCTCTGCATCTAGAGCCTCTCCACCGTGCTTTATGCCACTTCCTTTTTGAAAAGTTTTTCTATCCAGCTTTAGGACGAACCCCCAAGCTGAGCGTCCCTTTCTCTCCGATGCTCCGTCCGAGTAAGCACAGATTTCTGACTTTGGCACATTAGTGATCCAAAGTTTACAGGCTTCTACTTGGTCTTTTCTCGAACCAATCTTCGAACCCGGCCGCGATTGATAATATGGTGAGGCAAGAGGTTCTGCGGCCTCTGCCTATGGTAGCTGTCTATAAGCACGCTGAGCCCGTGACATTTGAATTCCAGGACGCGCAGATTTTCGATTGTGCTTCTTATATTTCCGCGTACCGACATTTGGGCAAACTGCAGCACGGATCCTGAGCGGATGGCGGTCATCAAGTATTTGCATTCCAGCAGAGAGACGAAGTCGGTTTCCTTCGAGAATGATTTTCCCGGTTGGTATTCCTCCTTCTATATGAAGCACGGCGTTAGGGGTTGTCCTCATTACCGGTAGTGTGTGACGACCAGAAGGGAGCACAGGTTAGCAGATGAACAAGTCGAATCAGGTAAGGACTCAGATCTGGAATATAATTCATAAGATTCTAAACTAAGGGAAGAAAATAACAAGAAGTATCTAGAGATATACATATATACATAATTTACAATTGGTCCGTGCGTATGTAGGATCACAACACAATACTTGGAAGGAACAATAGTATTAGAGGCCCCGGGGGTCAGGAATACACGGCCGTAACATAGTGCTGATCTAAGACCCATTAAGACAGCCTTATCAATAATACTACATAGGCCAGCAGTGGGCGGTGTCACCATCACTCGTACTATTGGGCGTCTAAGGCCAGGCCACCAGACGTCAGCTCCGTACGTTGCGATTGGGACGATACATGTGTCGATCGCTTTAACTAACGCCCCAGGAGCGGCTCCTCGGTGGGCTGTATTGAAGCGACGCATGTGCTGTGCAATTTTCAACGCTTTGCCACACCAAGTTGTGACGTGATGTTTGAAGTTTAGTCGAGGATCGAGGTACACACCAAGCCAGCGGACATTTTGCGAAGGTTATATGAGGCTTTCGTTGACATAAATTCCAATCGATGTTTCGCAGTATCGTCCGGGGAATTGTACGACTTCGGACTTGTCTGTATCGAAAGCGACGGCATTATTTCGAGCCCAGTCTAGTAGGTTATTGACCTCGTCCTGTGCTGCGGCTGCAGACTCTGCAATCGTCCGGCCAAATCCAAGGATACCGATATCGTCGGCGTAGCTAAACCTTAGACCCGGGGTCCCACTTCGCATGGGCTCTGCCATATATAGAAGGAAGAGAAGTGGCGAGATCGGTGAGCCCTGTGGAACTCCGCACACTAGCTCTCTCTTGGTAGTGACTCCCCTAGAGTATCGCACTTGAACCATCCGATTGGCGAGGAAGGAGCTAGTCCATTTGAGAATAGACTCCAGCAATCCCTGCTCCTGCATCCTCCTTACCAATCGATTATGGAGTACCGCGTCGAATGCTCCTTGAACGTCCAGCGTTACAAAAGTAGCTGCCCATCC